GCTCTAAAGGCTAGGCGGACTAGCTAATGGCTAGCCAATCAGGACACGGCATCCTAATGATGTACCGTGGATATGACTGGCTACCTACTATCTAAGGAAAAGCCTCTAAGAGGCACAAATACCTCCTACTAGCTGCAGCCAATGCTGCTACCTGAGGCTTCAGGGCAGTGGTGATGTTCATGACAGAACAGGGTGTTCTGACTGCCTCGCAACAACTCCACGCACTGTCACCGGAATCAGGTGCCCATAGTGCAGCAAGAGGCTGCGGTTAGACTCAGTGAGCGTAACCACCTATGGTTACACCGTCTTATGTCCGGGACTAAACTCGTCGGACACCCCTCTTACCGGGTCCCTACCAATTGGTCCTTTCGCACGACATGCCGGGGAAGAGACCGGATGGATCGAGTAACCACCGGGATGCCGTCACCCCCCATTGTCTGACCTGTCGCGGTTGGAGCGTCCTCCGTACATGACGGGACTGGTCACGGGCTGAGAGGCCGGTGTTTATGCTCCTTGGCGTGGGCCAAAGGGGTCAGAGGTATGCAGCTGCTCCACTCTTAGTTTACTGCGCAGTGCGCAGAACGTTGTAATGTCTAACGGTTTGGTGAAGATATCCGCGACTTGGAGTCGTGTATCTGTGTACTCGAGTCGAAACACTTGTTGTTCGACGAGGTCGTTGATGAAATGGTAGCGCACATCAATATGTTTGGTGCGCCCATGGTGACCAGAGTTGTTCACTATCTGGATGGTGCTTTGATTGTCCTCATGGAGGGTAATAGCCGAGGTGATGGGACGACCCATCTCACCTGCTGTCTGCTTGATGTACAAGCATTCTTGTGCTACTGTGCACAGAATTATAAGTTCTGCCTCGGTGGTCGAGAGAACTATGCTGCGTAGTCTCTTAGCGATCCATGAGATCGCACAGTTGCAGTAGAATGCCACAAAGCCGGCGACTCAGCGACGAGTGTCAACGCAATTAGCGTAGTCACTGTCAGCAAATGCGTGCAGCGGAGTGGTGACATTGTGTTCACCACCCAAGACGAGACCGTAGTCGATCGTGCCTGGAATATAGCGAAGTGCTCGCTTGGCTGCCTGCCAATGGGCTGGGCCGGGGTTCGTTAAGAACTGACTGAGCTGCTGGACGACGTAAGCCAAATCTGGTCGGGTGCTAATCATGAGGTACATGATGCTCCCGACGACAGATCGGTACGGCTTGTCCACCATGTAGGTGCGCTCAGTTTCGT